AAAGTGAAACAGAGTGTTAAAAACAATACAAAGTGTCCACAGCAGCCCCTGTTGATACTTTTTTGGTCTTTGATTCTTTTTAAACTTCTTCCTTTCCTGGTGATTTCTGCTGTTGGTTTCTTCCCTGCTCTGGCCCATTTGTCAACCAATCAGCATCCACAGCATATACAGCATCATCTGCGTCCAGCAACGTGCAATTGGGATTTTGAAGGACTTTATGGAAGCACACTTGTAATGTTTCAAAACCTCTCTGTATAACGTCCATCGCAAAATACATACGCAAATTTGCACTATTGCGATACTACAAAAAAAAAAAAAAAAAAAAAGTTGTGGTTGTTGGGAAGCAACTTGTCACCAAACAATTGCAGTCTGCCTTGGAGTGACTGCAGTCACTGCCTGACACAGTGCAGTTTGTCAAAACTATGTATGTAGACGTGCTGCCAGCATGTTGCAAGCAACTGGAGTCAATCTGTGCTGAGGACATCAGCCCTGCAATTCATTTTTCCAACTCAATTAGTTGCCAGCAGGTCATATTTGAGGGTTGCCTGGTATTTTGCTGTTAAATAGCTGTTTTGCAGCAATTGCATCACTTTTTGTGGAGGAATTTCAGTTTCAAATCTGAGGCTCTGGCTGGACTCTGCATTTCCGATGAACGTAGACTACAAATGAGTCGTAATTTTTCCCAATTTATCAAAGTTAATCACCATATTATCACAAACAGATTGCATTTAATTGCCAACTTGTTCCCATTCAGCCACAAACTGATAGAAGACTGACTGTCTTATTGCTGTTTTATCACCATCCATCACTTTGAAGACAGCAACTAACTGCAAATGGTCACAGGCCTGACCCCCTTCCCTTCAAAGCAACCATTTCAAAGGCAACAAGATCTCAAGTTGTCTCCAGCCACTGTTTTGCCTTGCACAACTTCAGCCTTAGTTAACAGTTTTAGCCCCATATACTGCTCTTTCCACCATGCCACACTTAAATTCAGTTTATCTCAAGTCGTTGTCAGTTCTTTGCTGCCTGGTTAATGCATATGCTCGTAACGACGGATATCTGGGTCGATCTGACAGCTAATTAACACAGTATTGACTGTGGCTCAGTGTCAGGAGAAAACTCACTGAGTGCACTACAATTAAAGGAATTTGCAGGTAAAACATACCACATGGGAGAAAGGGGGAGGGGATGCAGAGAGGCGCAAAACAGATAGAGAGGTGGTACAGATGTCCTGTAGGTTAATTGCACAGGACTCTGCCTGACAATAAGGTGCCAACTCATCTGCAGAAAATTAGATGTGTGTGTTCGTGTGTAGACAGCTGCATGTTTAATGACAAACCATTATAAGGGAGTGCACAGTCCACATTTATCAATGTTTTCTCCCACATACGCAAGAACACGGGTCTGTACAGCTGACATACAACCACAAGGCATTGGGAAGTGTCTACGGTGCTTATTTGCATCTTCCACATCAAGTAACTGCACTTAACAGCGTGCTAATGTCACACAAACACAACAGGCTTACCCAAGCAGAAATAAAAGCTGCATAAAGAAAGCAAACACAGGCTGTTCTTCACACGCTGCCCCACACAATAGATTTTAGATGAAGTCTGAGTGAAGGAAGGAAAAATGGGGCTCTGTGGGATAAGAAACGAATGGACTGAAGCCGAAACAAGAAGGTAAATAACAAAACAAGTAGGCGCTCAATGAGCAAACAGGTAAGCGAGCATCGCACTGGAGATGAAGTTAACTCATTTAAACTTGCTTGTGTTTCACTTCCACGTTCTCCTCTGTTGACTCTTCTTTTTGCACTCTCTCTTAAGTTTAAAAAGACCAAATACTATAATAAGATAATCTTTATCCTTCACCCTGCAAACCAGATTAACAATTAAAGCTCTTGGCCGAGACAGCCTTTGAAGTATAACAGCGACCAGTTGCTTTTTTTTCCCCTTCTTCTCCTCTGGTCTTGAGGTCGTTCTCTTCTCCTCTTCGCTTTTGGCTGCAACCAACAGCCCTAATAACTGCTCACTACTGCATTATAAATCTTTTAATCCCAGAATCTTTATAATCCTTTGAGGCAGAAGCTGTAAAACTTACAGTGCAGCTAAAACGCAGTGTCAATGCTGACATATCAGAGAGGTGCTTTGTGCCATTGTTATACTGGACGATGCACAGCTATTTAATGTTTTTGGAGAAATCCTCCACATGGCTCCCAGTGCATCTTACACAAAAACAGAAAAAAAAATGCATTCTCAGTAGTGCTGCTCAGCACGAGAGCTGGAATAAAGAGCATGGACTAAAGGACTTGCCAGAGAGAGCACTCTGACCTCTCCGATGTATCAGGGGGCAGCCTGGGTGCCCGTGATGTTTTAACGCTGGTGAGCTGAGAGATTCTCAATAGACAAACAGACCCCAGAGTAGTGATCACAGCGGTCTACTCATGCCAACCCTGCTGAAAATACCCATCTAATCAACTGCGGCTGCTTCATCCACCATATTACCCTGCCCCCTGGTGCTAAAGCAAACGGCGCCTTTAAAACAGAGAGTAAACCGACATCACAGAGCTGTCAAAGCGCAAGAGAAAAAGGAGCACAAGTGACACTGAGTGAGCAAGAAATGCATTGTCATCGTTTGTTGTTTAGGTTCTTGTGAATTTGAATGACGTGAAGGTCAAACAGTGCGAGATCTGTTCAGGAAAAAGACAGGAAGATGGGCTGAGCTGTGAGAATGTGATGTGGGAAAAACATGAAAACAGAGGAAATGAGCAATGGAACGAGAGAATGACGCACACTGCCGATTCTCCCGTTATCATCTTCCACCCATTGCGGGTTTCTAGGGAATAGAGATGCAACAGAAGAAAGCATTGCCTGTGGCAGCAATAACCTACGCTAAATGATATGATATCTGCGTGTGTATGTGTGTACACGAAAGCACTTTCTCCGGCTGTTTTATGAGTAGCACAGCATCTCAGACAGCTTTCACTGTTCCCTTTAAGCTTGTAAGAGTTATGTCTACAGATGTAAACTCAATTTCACATCCTGCACCATTTTTCTTTTCCTTTTTTGGCCGTCTTCCTACCCACACGCTACCTACCACGCTGGAAATGTTTTCTCAGACACAACTGTTTTATTTACCAGTAAAGCAAGTTCACAGGAGTGAAAGAAGAAAGACGGAAGACGGGACGATACAGAGAGACGACAAAAACAACTGTGGGTTTTCTGCTGACTGCATTGATCTTTTAATGACTCATTCTTATAAACGGTACTATGATAACCAAACCCAGTAAACAGCGATGTGTACTATAATATCGATTTAGTGAAGGCAACAAAGAATAGAAGGACAGAGATGAAGGAAAATATCCCTCGCAGTGATAAATGAATAATACATTAACCCAGTTCGAAAAGGTTGCCTCCACTTCAAGCTCATCCTTCAAATCTTGAAGTTCCTTTTTTGGCTGAATGTTGCCTGCAGCAGCAGTGAGCAACAAAACAAGGCAGACTCCCCCTAACCCGAAGCTTTACTTCTGAAGCCCTTCCATCCAGCTTATGACAAATCTGAGCTGATAGATGACAGCGATGCCTCCATTATTGGCCGATGGATCCACATTTTTCAACTTAATGAAACATGCTCCTTGGAGCCCAAACTAAATATTTAATGGTCTCTCACTGCGACCTTGAAACCCTTCTAACAAAGACAAAGGGACACCCCACTTTCTTCCTTTTCTTTTCAACCATCCCTTCAGCTCTTTTTCCCCGTCTGGCCCCGTTTTCCAGCGAGAGAGGAAAAGGGGACTAACCAAAACAACAGTGGACATCTCAAAAGGATTCAATTTTCCTAAGCAGAGCCCTACATTTACCCGGAGAGGAAGTGGGGATACAGAGAAAACGATGTCACTCGTGACGCTAAGATTTCAGTACCAATTTCCCTGCTCCTCTAGGGAACGAGTCCCGTGGAGTTGCAGTTGAATGCTTGGTTGAACAATTTCATGTAAATTGCAGGCAAAAGGGTGTTGCCATCTCATGTGGAGTAGAAATCCAACGAAGGCGAAGGATAAACCAATTCACTGTGCATAATGCAAGTAGTAATGAGGTTCAGCGAGAGTGCCGGGGCTGTAAAGTGAGGCCAGCCATTTTATTATCCTTCTCCGTGGGGGCCATGGGATGAATGGTAAAATCCAGTGCTTCTCATGGCTGGGTCCCTTTGCTTGTTTCCAATCTATCAAACTGCATTCACGACACTTCCCCAGTTGTAAATAATTCCAGCATTAGATAAAATCAACAGGACTCTGAAACACACTGGTACATCGTAGTTCAAGGCTGACAACATCACTGTGTGTTCACTCTCTCTTTCTGTCTGTCACCTACTGCCAACATTAACTACTCCACATGTATTAAAGTGACAATAACTGTGAAAAATAGGTGTGGGTGTGTCACGGTGGAGTCAGAGGGTAAGTGACTGTTAGTGTGAGTAAATCTGTGCCATTGTGCGTGTCTTGAACCCAAAACTTCCTGCAGAGCTGGTCACCAAGAGTGCCCTGGCACCCATCCAGGATTGGGGCAGTCGGTCATATTGTGTGTGTGCGTATTCTGTTGTGTGTGCGTGTGTGTGCGTGTGTGTGTGTGTGTGTGTGTGTGAGTGAGAGAATGTCCATGCTGGCAGGATGGGAGTTTTTGGCGAATTGATACAGAGCTTATAAAGAGAACAATAACAGTGCTTCCAGTGTTTGAGTAACCTGTTAGCATCTGGCAAGTCTGAGCCTCAGCAGACAAAACAACTGAGCAATTTTTCATTTGGAGACCAGGGCAGAGGAAGCTGTCCCGGACAAAATAACTTAAGCTTAAAGTAAGACAAAAACATCACCTTCCTTTCTATTCTGTTCACATTTAACTCACAGATATCCAACTTACTGTGATACAATGAAGTCCTGGCCATCTAGACTCAGCGTATGAACGGTATTTTAATGTGCATAATGTCAGCGGGTATTGTTAACTTGTACTCACAGCAACAAGAATCTGTGCCCCACTGTGCATGACCTCAATGTACTGATAGTCCACGAAGCAGCCCATGACAGTGATGTAGGAGTGGCTCTCCGTGGTATGGACCCCAGGAGCCTGTGGCATCTCTCTCCGCACACAGCCGGGGCCATGTTCACTCCACCAGGAATGATGAGCTGAGATGTTAAATGTTAGCAGGTCACTGTCCTGGAAGGAGAAGGAAAAACATTAACTTCTTTGCTAGGACTGTATTCTTTAGTTATTAAGCACATTCATGTATTTTTTATAAGGAAACCAAGGCTGGCTTTCAAAGCAACCAAAGCACCGATGCTCAAAAGGCAGGGAGCTTAACTTTGGAAACTTACAGAAGCTGTTGGAAGACTTTTTATGATTGTAATCCTTTGCTGAAAGGGTTGGTTCATAAAATTACAGACAAGCATCTTTAGACTGCTAATGACTCTCCAAAGCCTTACTTATGTTAGCGCTGCATTGAGCTGGTTCTCAAAACACAATACAACAACATGTTCACCGTCTTTCCTTAGTGTGCTAGCATGTCAACGTTATGCCAGTGCAGCTTTGACTAATAGAAAATCACAACCAGGAAAATGTGGTTTAAAAAACCCTTCAGGCAAACATAGTGGTGACAATTATTACACTTCATCCAGCTGCAGAGCATCTGGTTCATTTGAAGGCAATCCACCAAATAACTCAACACTAACGTTTTAGTGCAAAAATTCTTAAATTTTGACCTCGCTGTAGCATTGAAGGGATTGCGAAGGTACACTCATCAACCACTTTATTAGGTACACCCTGCTAGTACCAGTTTAGACCAACTGATGCTTTCAGATCTGTTTTAAGTCTTTGTAGCATAGATTCAACAAGGTGCTGGAAACATTCCTCAAAGATTTTGGTTTATATTGATGCATTACACAGTTGCTGCAGATCTGATGTAAATCTCCCATCCCACCACACCCCAAAGCTATTGGATTGAGATCTTGTAACTGTGGAGGCCATTTGAGTACATTGGACCAGTGTGTGTGTGGTATATTGTTGTCTTAAATAGAATGGACATGGCCAGCAACAAGACTCAGATAGGCTGTTGCATTTACATGATGTTCAGTTAGTACTAAGGGGTCTAAGTGTGCCAAAAAATATCCCCCACACCATTACATCACCACTACTCTTAAACTTTGATACAATCCAGAATGGATTTAATTTTTTTATGTCACAGTGTGAAAACAAGCAGTCTAGTCATTCTCCTCTAATCTCTGTCCTTAACTAAGAACAACCTCCCAAAGAACTACCATTCACTAGATAATTTCTCTTCCCAGTACATCAGCAGTTTCTGAAATACTCACACCAGCTCGTCTGGCACCAACAACCGTGTCACTGTGTGTCACATGTCACTTAAATCACCTTTCTTTCATACTTGGATTTGAACTTCAGGAGGTTGTCGTGACCATGTCTGCACACAGATGAACACATTCATCTAATACAATAAGTGACCGTACATCACATGTATGTCAGGTATTTAGTATGAGCACATTTTCATGGCATTATATACTGAGTGGACTGAACTTGTCATACCAAAAAACACATTCTACCACTTAGAAAAAGTGCGATCTCTCCATGTAAACAGTTATTGTTTGCATTATTTTTTCAAATGTCTGCTTCCATCACTATATTTGACGTAAATAAAATAGCATTTATAGTTTAAAAACATTAAAAATGTCATAATTTCAAATCATCTATGTGCCTTTCCAGAAGCTGCTTGTTTCTCAGGATAACTTGGAAACATCTCAGTCACTTTTTTTGGAACTACTTTCTGAAAAAGAAAAAAAAACAGCATAAATGATAATATTAATGCCATCTTTCTGTTGACATCTTAAAAATGCACTCCTCTCTCTGGACCTCAATTGTCTTGGGTTGAACAGAGAAATCTTCAGAGGCTTATATCCTACATTTAATCGAGTAATATCAAAAACAACTGCCGGACTAGACAAATAATATTTCAGAATTTGGCTGAACTAAATATTATTAATATGTGCATAAGTCTCAGCCAGGAGATCTGCTGTTTATGTGAGGTTTATAAATTCTTAAGCCATACTACAGCAATACTGCAGCTTTTGGAGAAAACTTTTTTATGCATAGAAGTCTGCACGGCGTTGCTCAATTTTTACACAACCATATGAGCTCATGGACACACACACAACCAC